AAAAAAAAAATGTACTCGTACATAGTTGTTTATCTAAGTGTTAATGTATAAACATTGCATGCATGAGTTTATAATAGCCATTTTCATTGTTGATTAATTCCCTACATGAAGTGTACATTTTCTTTTATTTTTCTATTAATAATATTAAAACATGAATAATCAACATTTTTGTAACTTAGCCCATGTTTTTATTAAAGATGTTATTATTACCACTTGAAAGCCAGTTTCAGGGAGAATTCCAGATGAACCAGATGCATAATTTACACCATCAACTATTTCTTGCTCTTTAACAATTGGAAAGGCTTTGATGTAACTCTTTAAACCAAGATGATCACCTGTGTGAATAATTGCCAAAAAAGGATGATAAGTTCAATTCTATTTGAAATAAATATATTTTCAGCTGAGGGAAAAAAAAAAAACAGTTAATAAATAATAATAATACGGAGTAATAAAAGTGATAATCAATAATTACATCAAGCAAAACCAATAATAACAAAAAAAACATTTGGTTTGAAAGAGAGATTATATTAGCCCATTTAGGGCAATGGGCCCAACCCAAATTATAACCAGATTTAGCCCATTTGAAAAGTAACAATTTGAACATAGTGAGGTTGCAAATAAAAATATGAGTTTTTATATATATATATACTCTGTAATATACATGGTATTCGACTACTCGTAATCAAATCATATTTTACATGAAAGTGAAGGCGATTTCTTTTAAAAGATAAATAAGGTAAATAGGGAAGAAAAATTACCGATAATATCGACGGTAGTCCTGCCATTAGTAAATCTTCCAGTGGGGCCATCAGGGAAGTCAATCCCATATGGTTGGAAATTGGCCCTGGCTAATGTTACAAGGTTATTGTTATTACCACTATCTGATAGAGAGTCTCCAAATATAAAGAAACAAGGTACTTGGGGTGAGGCCAATGGGGGTTCTCCATTAACCCAATATAGATGCAAACTTGCTACAAATATTGTTAATATCACTTCTAATCCCATTAGATTAATTCTTTTTGAGGTTTGAAGAAGTATAAGAAGGCGTGCAACAAAGGTGTATGAATATCGTACATCCCAAAACAATGCATAGGCAATGAAAGCATATTCTATTTATAATCCTAATGACAACATTAATGTGTTTTATGGCAAGTAATTAGTAAGTTAGAGTTTCATCACCTTAAAGAGCTTAATTTAGAGTTTCACTTGAGTTAAATCTCTTGCATTTGCTAATATTGACCGTGCTTAATTACTGAATAAGTATTGTGTTTACTCCAAAGGATTTATTACTCCACTATACAACTTTCATGTACTTTATATCAAGTAATTATATATATATTTTTAATAATCATACATCTTGCTAGTTATTGTAGCAATGGAAATCAAGGAAAATAGATAATCAGTGAAAGTTGTTCAAATTTTTGTGTATCATTAAATGGTACAAATAGACTAAATGTGGTTGGATAAGACAGGGTAAAAATGAACATTTCTTTGAATCTTTGTCATGTTAAAAGATAAACCAAAACTAGGAAGATTGATAGATAACACACTTAAAAAAAAAAAACCTAGTGAGTGCCGCCTTATTTATTTGTTGTTTATCATATTAACTTTTTGCATAGTTTTCAATAATGTAATATTGTAATTAAAAATTTCAAGCTATATATTACATTATAAAGACTACATATTTAAAATTGAGATAAATCTAATAAAATTCAACATGACTATATTTACAATAATATATTTATCTTTAAATTAGAATCCATAAGTATTGGAATTCTAAATTTTTTAAATGCAACAAGTCGATAATAAAATGGAAACGGAGAGAGTAGCTGAGTAGTTGATACTGATTTGTATATTTATTGTTTGGAAAATGCTATACATAGCCCTTAGGGCTATATATAAGCATTATTACACTAGAAATCTTATAAATTTAGAAAATCATAAAAATATAAATACTAATCACACTGATTTGCGCGTGTTTTTGTTATGAATTCTTAATTTTATACAATTTTTAACAGTGTATTTAATTAGGGCTACATATAGCATTACCCTTATTGTTTTAATGAGAGTTGTTTTATTTTATTATTTTATTTATATATATATTTATTTATTATTTTTTATTTTTTATTTTTTTTTGTGAGTAAAAGAGTTTGAATATGGTAATTGTTTTTCTTGCATTAGTTTTGACTATGTGGTTAAACAACGGATAAGTATTGTGGCAACTTATAACATTCATATGTTTTAATTTATGACAAGTAATTGATTTTAAGTTTCACTGTTTTAGTGTTGTAAACTTGTAATTTTAAAAGTTAATAATATATCTAACTATTTTTCTTGCATTTGTTAACTTTTGACTATGACCTACAAGTATTAAATAAATAATGGTGCACTTACTCTATGTCTAAATAAGTGTTTGATTTTTTTTTTTTTTTTTTTTTCAAAAAAAGTATTTGAATTAACTGAGAAAGTAGGGAGCAACATTAACATAAATATGATCAAGTTGTGCATGTCAAATTGGGTTATTTTAATTTAGATAATTATGCGTTAGTTTAAATGGAGTTCAGGTTAAGTTGAACCGAGCACCACGAGTTGATTTAGAGGTGATCATATATGACTCAGCTTGCTTATTCCGTCCAAAAATTACCTGGATGTGGGCATAATTTTTAGGCCTGAAACCGGCCTCAGACCAGCCAATTCGACTTAATTTAAATTTATTTTTAGTTATAATTTTGACCGTCTTGAAAAATTGCTACTTTTTTCCCCACAATAGTACATGGTTTGGCTGCAAGCTAAGTTTTTAGGCCCAACTTTCTTCGCCAAAGCTCGGCCTAGCTTGCGAACCATTCACCGTACCTTTAGGTTGATTTCTATATAAAATAGAATTGAGTTGGATTAACAACAATTTGGTCAAATTTAAGTTCAAGTTAACTCAGATTGATTCTAAACATTGTTCATCTCAAATTTATAATATCATCAATTGCATTTTTTTTAGAGAGCCACAAGGATGAGGGTGAGAATCAATCTCAGAATCTCTTGAAACCGAGAAGGATAGCTCAAGCTCTAATCACTTGAGATATCCCTAACTTTTTAAATTGTCATTAGTTAAATGCATGTTCTGTTGGATTCAAATTGAGTGACAATCTCCTCAGGTCGGCCACATATCGAGTATGCAATGTTGAATTCGAGTGAAATTTTCTTTGTGAGGCGGATGTACCATGCTTGGTACATCCGGATTTTTGATAAAATGCGGAATGAACATATAGTTGTTTTGTAAAGAACATATAGTTGTTTTTGTAAAGAACATTCAACTTTATATTATTTTTGTATATCTAAAGAACATCCAAAATATTAAGGAAAAATTGCTTTAAATAATACCACCTTTCACCCGTCCGCTAAAAACAAGTCGACCGTTTGATTATTTAAATAATACCAACTTTGGAGGTTGTCCGCTTTAAACAAGTTATTTAATCTGCAACCTGAATGACCGGTTAATTTTATTATTTTTTTAATAACTTCGTTTAATAATGTAATTAACTCTTAATAACAACTTTAATGATTGTTAATTACAATTAAAATATTTTGATAATATCTTTTAAAATTAAAACTGATTTTTATTTTTAAAATAAATGATTTTTTTTTTGAAATATGATGTGCTGCCACGTCAGCCAGAGAAGACTCCAGCCAACGCAGCAGCCCGCAACGGCAGCCAGGACAGAGCCCAGCCACCTGTAGCCAGTCACTTCACCGACCATACGCCCACCCACGCTGGGCTACTGTCACTACAGAGCGAAATTCGGCCTGCACCAACTGCAAGGCCGTCGCTCCTCCCCTCCCCCCTTCACCTTCATTAATACGTAGCCACCATCCCCTCCATTTCCGGCAGTCCCCCCATCCCCTCCATTTCTAGCAACCCTCCTTCCCCTCCATTTCGGGTCGTCCTTCCACTTTCCCTTGAAACCCATACCCGAAAACCACCTAAAATCCCCTTTCCTCTTCCCTTCCCTTTCTCCTCCATGAATTCCAACCACCCAAACCCCTCGAATTCCAGAAAAAACCCACCCACCTTATCGAAAAACCACCAAAAAACCCCATCCCATGGCCGATTTTTGGGTTTTGAGATGTTTAGCGTAGGTTTTGGGATTGGTTTCATGTGGCTTTGGAGATGAGGGTGGGGGTGGGTCGGGTGGCTACGGGATGAGGGTGGGGGTGGCTATGGATGCGAGGGGAGGGGGCGATAGGGTTGAGGGGCGAGATGCTGGGGTTGGCTTTTCCGGCGCGAGGAGGAGGCTGTGGCGCCGAACAGCCAGGAAGAGGTGTTGGCAGCCTTGGCAGGGAGGGGAAAGGGTGGCTGGTGGGGGGGGGGGTTATTTTTTTTTTTACTACAAAAATAATAATAATAATAATTAATATTATTACCTATTAAAAATTAAAATATTAAATAAAAAAAACAAATTATATTTTTTTAACCCAATCAAACATTGACACGTGTCCCATATACCTATTAATCAAGTCAACAACTAGTCATGACTTGTTTAAAGCGGACAACCTCCAAAGGTGGTATTATTTAGAGATAACCAAAAGGTCGACTTGTTTTTTTTAGTGGATGGGTGAAAGGTGGTATTATTTAAAGTAATTTTTTCCTAATATTAATAAAGAACATGATGATGTTATGTAATGAACATTATTCATATTCACCCACCATAATCTAAAAACAAAATTTAAAGAACATTTCACAGTAAATAATGAATATTGCGTCACAAATAAAAATACATTACACTGATAATCAAATAATACGGAGATAAAGAATATTATTTAACAGTGTGTTCTTTATAAAATAGTGTCATGTTCATTGTTATTAATAGCTTTATTTATTAAATTTTTTTTTTTTTTTTTTTTTTTATATCTCTTATGTTCTTTTATCACGTTCATTACATTTTAACAATATATTATTTTCACTTTAGATATATGTTCTTTACAATTTTATACCATGTTCTTTTCCCTTTGACTAAATGCTTTTTACATTTCTATACAATATTCTTTTCGCTTAATTTTTTTTTTTTTTTTTGAACGGATGTACCATATCCGCCTCCATAAACTACTGATTGAAATTGAGAGCCAACCCAATTCTCGGATCAAATTCTAGTTGGTTTCACTTTAGACAACTCACTTTGCACATCACCAAAACACCGATTCATCCATATCACCCAACAAAGCCACAAAAATAGCAAGTCCATCCCACACAATCAGCCCATCCAACAACAACAACAATATTCCCTCTTTCCATTTTCCACCCTTTGTTTTCTTCTTTCTCTCAACTTCTCCACCTTTCGCTCTCCTCCAAAATGTCAACCAAACCCTTACCCACCTCCACCACCCCAAACTACGGCACAATCCCCACCACCACCACCACCACCACCACCCCCTCCACCTCCATCGACACCTTCATCACCCGCGCCACCCACCACACCCAAACCCTAATCTCCCACCGCCGTCCATGGCGCGAACTCCTCTCTCTCTCCTCCCTCTCCCTCCCCACCTCCTACTCCGCCGCCATGTCTCGCCTCCGCCGCAACCTTAACTACTTCCGCTTCAATTACTCCCTCATCATCCTCTCCATCCTCTTCCTCAGCCTTCTTTGGCACCCCATCTCCATGATCGTCTTCCTAGCTGTTTTCGTTCTCTGGCTTTTCCTCTATCTTTCGAGAGACGACCCAATCGTTGTTTTCCATCGTTCGATAGATGATCGATTTGTTCTTCTTGGGCTCACCATTGTTACGATTCTCGCATTGGTTTTTACCCAGGTTGGATTGAATGTGTTGGTTTCGCTTGTGATTGGGTTTTTTGTTGTTGGATTACATGCTGCGTTTCGAAGTGTTGATGATTTGTTTCTGGATGAAGATGATGTTGCTGATGGTAATGGGTTAACTGGGTTTGTTCCTGGTTTTGAAGGTCAGCCTTTGAGACCTACTTACGCCAGAGTTTGATTTTTTTTTTTTTTTTTTTTTTTTTTTTTGGGAAATTGTAAATTTGATACGTGTAAAAGGATGTTAATGAGCTGAGACGAGCCGAACTCGAGCTTGGGTTGCTCAGGTCGGGTCGGGTTTTTAACACTTTCATTCGAACTCGAGCCGAGTCTGAATGGGATCGAATTGCTTTGGTTTGTGTTTGGGTTAGTTTTTTTTAATTGTAGTGTGATGGTTGAAAATGGCAAGTTTTTCTTACGAAGTTGTACATTGGAAATTTGTCAGCAATTAAAAAAAAGTTCAATTTCAGCTATGTTGACATTGCATTATTATATGTTGATGTTGATTGCATAAAAAACATCTTGATGGTGAAGTATGGCAATTAATTTAATTGCGGTTAAACCATCCCTAATTATGTGATATGTTGATATCTTATCCAAATACGTAATTTGTATTGGTTTATTAGCGAGGATACGTAATTTGTATTGGTTTATTAGCGAGGATAATATTATCCTAAATTCTGTTGTTATGTTTTTACTTCGTAATAGATAAGAGCCATCATTGTCATTGAGGTTGCAAAAGGTACTGCTTCAATGATAATGAAATAACTCAATAAGTGATGCTAAAAGCAGCTAACTTGCCTATTAAGATCTTTTAAGACTATGCACTAATAATTTTTTTTATTTTGTACGGTAGGAAAATTTAACAGGAATAATCCAACCTTCGTTCCGTTCTCCCATATTAATCCAATTTTTCGATTATTCCGCATTAATCCAATCTTTGCCCCCCATTTTCTCCCAGCAACCCTTACAGGTCATCTACCGGTACAACCGGTTATAAGTGCTACGTGGCACTTCCTAATTGGTTTTTCTTTTTTTTTAATTTACTTTTTTTTTATTTTAATATGTAAATAAAAAAAAAACCACCTTCTTTCTTCTTTCTCTCTCTTCCATCACCAAATTCACCACCATAGCAATCTATCTAGAAATTTGCTCCACCTCCGGTCGCCACCCTTGACCACCTTACACCAAAAACAACCACCACTAACACCAAATCAGCCACCACCTACCGCACCTCAACCACCTGATTTAAACCCCCCTCCACCCCGTCCCCACCACTAGAACCGCCCCTTCCATTTTCGACCACCACTGCCCACCCCACCCTAAGCTACCCCCACAGCCCGAAACTACCACAAAACCCCACCACCACCAGCCACCACCACTACCCCAAGACCCTAATTTCGTCAGCCACCCTATAACCCACCCAAGCACCCCGAAACCACCCCTTATCCTTCCCAGACCCCGATTCCCTTCCCTAGCCCCCGATAATCGCCCCCTCCCCTTCCCATGCATCGGAGTGTGAAGCTGCGGTTTGCGGAGCTGTGGCCGGTGCTAGGTGCGGAGGTCGGGATTTGGTGCGGTGGTGTTGTTGGGTGCTGTTGCGGTGGAAAGAGAAGGCAAACAGGGGAGTTAGGTGTGTGGTGTGGTTGGTTTGTGACTGGAGGAGGAGATACGTGCGGTGGTGCAGGGGATGGTTGTGGTGGTTTGTGGGCTGCTGTGAATTGATGTGGCAAAGGTGAGAGGTGCGGGGCTGTATTGATGTGGCAAAAGTGAGAGAAATAAGAAACAGCAGGGGTGGGGTTTTTTTTTTATTTTTTTAAAAACTTTTTTTACTACCCAATTTTTTTTTAAAAAAACAAGTAAATTAAAAAAATAAAAATAAAAAACCAATCATGAAGTGCCACGTCATCATAAAAACCGGTTGAAACCGGTTGTTAACCTACAAGGGTTGCTGGGAGAAAATGGGGAGCAAAGGTTGGATTAATGCGGAATAATCGAAAGGTTGGATTAATATGGGAGAACGGAGCAAAGGTTGGATTATTCCCGTTAAATTTTCCTGTACGGTATTAGTTGTTGCATTATCTTAACCTCTCGTGTATTAGGAGGTGACATGAGTAGTAATCGACTCATCTATCGACCTAATACATTACTATACTACTATAGGGAATTTGATAACTCTTTCGAAACACCTTAAGTAATATATATGATTAATAATTCCAAACAAAGGGAGTATAATGTGACCATCATTAAAGATGCCAGCATTGTTAACCGAAAGCAATGCAAGCTCTTGTTCAGAATTTCATAGAGTTTCAACTATCATAAAAGTTCAACAATGCAATAAAAAATTCAAGACACAAATTATTTGTTTTTACAGAGTTTTGTTCACAGATGTATACGAGTATAGATTGACAATTTGACATGAAATGTTAGGAAACTGAAACAATGATTAAGTTGATAAATTACTGGAAAACACAAAGTACAAGACAATGAGCGAAAAAACAAGCAACTACAAGTTAGATTGAACAAGGCAATTCAACAAAGGGAAAACATAACAGGTCCTACTCATGGTATAATTGAGATCAAGAAAGATACGAGAAGAGTCAGAAAACCAAAAAAAAACCTTAGTATCATTTTCACTTATCCAATAGTATTATAAACTTGAGTTTAAATGAAATAAACAATAATTTGGAAACAATGGTACAGAAGTTGAGATGGCCGAGTTGGTCTAAGGCGCCAGATTAAGGTTCTGGTCCGAAAGGGCGTGGGTTCAAATCCCACTCTCAACATTATATCACTTTTTTTAATTTCATTTTTATTTTTCCCTTTTTATTAAGATAATATGACAAATAAAAGGAATCGAATGCTAATTTGCTATACATCGCCCTAATGTTTACAATAGTTTGAAGTTTAGTAGGAAAAAACATTACTACACATTTTGTAAGACCTAATAATAATGTAAATTCAGACCTCAAAATTGGGTTGAAGAAACACTACGGTGTACTTCGTAGGTGTTATGGAGTAGAACTACATTTTAAAGTAATGGTAGCTCACCCTCTTTATATGTATTACGGAGTAGAACTACATTTTAAAACAATGGTAGCTCACACTCTGTTTGGAGTAGAAATACATCTTAAAACAATGGTAGCTCACACTCTGTTACGGAGTAGAACTACATCTTAAAACAATGGTAGCTCACACTCTATTAGGGAGTAGAACTACATCTTAAAACAATGGTAGCTCACACTCTGTTAGGGAGTAGAACTACATCTTAATACAATGGTAGCTCACACTCTATTAGGGAGTAGAACTACATCTTAAAACAATGGTAGCTCACACTCTGTTAGGGAGTAGAACTACATCTTAAAACAATGGTAGCTCACACTCTGTTTGGAGTAGAAATACATCTTAAAACAATGGTAGCTCACACTCTGTTACGGAGTAGAAATACATCTTAAAACAATGGTAGCTCACACTCTGTTACGGAGTAGAAATACATCTTAAAACAATGGTAGCTCACACTCTGTTACGGAGTAGAAATACATCTTAAAACAATGGTAGCTCACACTCTGTTAGGGAGTAGAACTACATCTTAAAACAATGGTAGCTCACACTCTATTAGGGAGTAGAACTACATCTTAAAACAATGGTAGCTCACACTCTGTTAGGGAGTAGAACTACATCTTAAAACAATGGTAGCTCACACTCTTTATATGGATTACCGATTACTTAACTCTCCTTTATTGCTGCAGGATGCAACAACTATGCTTCAAGAATTTTACTGCATGGATATATTCTGAAATTACGTTTTTTTGAGCAAAATTTTTAACTTTGTAGAAATTATTTTGTAATGTATCTGTTAGTTCCACACTTCAATTACATCTGAATGTCCAACCTGATTCCTCTGACAGCTCAATTTATGTTCATTTTAAAAAATAAAAACAAATGTTTAATTCAGAGCATTAGAATAACTTCATAGCAAACACCACCTAGTGAAAACTGAAAAGCAGTCGAATCAACAAATCACGTAAATATAACCTATGCTCTGAAATCGCTGGAAGAATGCAGCAAATGCTGTAAATAAAAAAGTATTGCCTTCAAAAATAACTACCCTTGTTCAAATTACTGCGATCTCTTGGACTCTGAATTCTAAGGCCAAAAGTCCAAAAGTCTCTTACTCTTCCTCTAGATTGATGGAGTCTCCAAACTTGCCATACAGGATCTTCTTTAAGTCAGCCATTTGTGCGGTTATAGATTCCTTCTCTTCTTCAAGTTTCTCCAAATTTTTTTCAGTCAATTCTTTCATCTCTTCTAGTCTAGTTTCTACTTCTTCCTTTGGCACATGAGCAAATACCTCTCCTATTTGAAAACGTACTATCTCCTCATCAGTCAAGATCAGCTCGTTGCTTGCATCTTCCAAATTCTCACATTTATCCTGAGAGGAAGTCAGATAGCAAATTTTATTCAGGAGAGGAATGTCAGGAATCTAACATGTGTAATCACGATGGAGTATATAAATCACAGTCAACTAGGAATTAAAATCGGAGAAATAATATGCAATGAAGTATGAACTGATCAAAGAACCAAACACTGTCCACATTCAAGTTGAATTGGGGCTTTCCCTTTGAATTTCAATAAAGCTTTCTGCCGGTAACCCGGTCAGCCTTCACAAACTTTGAGATAATACACTTCAAAAGTTGGTAGCCTATCACATAATATTTAACAAAATCTGAGAAATAATGTGTAGAATGTCATATAATTTTTCAACAGGGAAAGAAACTCAAAACCTTCTACACCAGTCACTAATCATCAGGAAATGAAATTTTATTACCCCCCCCCCACCCTGCCCCCGCGTCACACACACCACCCGATAATATGTGTGAATGGCTGAATGCCACGTAATTTTATTAACATGGAAAGGAACTCAAAACCTTCTACACCAGGCACTAATTGTCTGGAAATGGAATTTTATCCCCCCCACCAGCCCCCCCCCCCCCCCCCACCCCCTCTTCCCTCTCATCCACCCGAAGGCCAACATATAATCAAAGTCACACTAACTCAGTGACTTAAAAGTCACACCAATTCCCTAGAAATAAAAAATTACCACATGGAAGCTTATAATAACCATGAAAAACATTTCCAAATCTATAGAAAATAATTTCTACGCTCTACCAAATTACATTAGGTACTCTAAACAGTTTAGATGCCATTGAAAACCAAAACATTGGCCATACAGATTTAGAGTCGAGCTGTTGTAAGGAGCAAGGGAGAAGTCCGGAGAACAGAAGGCAAGGTACTTTCAGCTTTGCAACAATCATTATATTAGGAATTGGAGCAGAAAATTGGCATTGCTCATCAACCCATAGAAAACAATAACATTGGGCGTACAGATTTATAGCAGTGCTGTTGTAAATTTATAGCATTTCCGTTCTTGGCAGTACAGCTAGCAGCAAGGAAAGGAAAGGTAATTTCAGCTTTGCAACGATCAATTTATAGGAGATTGAAGCAGAAAATCAGCATCCCTCATCAACCCATCCCCTGCCCCCCTCCCTCAACACACCCTAGGCTCCAAACAATGGGAAAAAAAGAAAGAAAGCAATAAACGCCTACTACAACTGAAATAAACTTCTGCAGCCAATTAATTTATATAGCATCGTTATAAATTTGTTTTCATAAATAACTTAACACCAGCTAGCCAGCTTACATAGTAAACACATCTGAAACAGAACGCTTAACAAACACTCATATTTCAACAGGTAAAAATCAAAATTACATACAAGCCACCGCCCAAAGTGACAAGGGCCGACGCTTCGCACAATTACAGATGGCTCAATTTTTCAGTTACCTCACATAGTCACATACAACCCCCAAAAGACTGGACAAATAAACACATCCTTCTCAATGGTGGTCAGGTACTTCTATTTGTGAGCTACATACCCCAAAATGACAGTATATCTCACCTATCATGTTATATGTGCAATACAAAATGCCTAATTTTTCATCCATCAAACTATATGATCAATGCAAACTTTCCTCTTGCAGACTTGCAATAATGTAGTATTAGAAGCAAATTTAGCAAATAGCAATGTTAATATCTTAAGAATCCTCAAAGTCAAATAGTAAGCAGCTTATACTTCAATTTTAAGATTAACTAAGACACGACCTGTCACAAATTATCGGTTCCAATAACTACTTTAAAAAAATATAGTTCAAAATCATCATCCTATATTCCTATGGACATGGCATCAGAAAACATACAAAGTAGCTAAATTTTCGCTTCCGTCCTCAGCACCCTTGCATGTCGTGCCGCCGATGCATGCTCATACACACACTAGTACAATATTGTCCGCTTTGAACTAAGCCCGCACGGTTTTGCTTTTGGGCTCCTTCCCAGAAAGCCTTGTACTAGTGTATTGAGCATCACTTTATAAATAGCTCCTTCCCTTGCTATTTCTTCCATGTGGGACTTGGGATGAAATTCCCAACATTGCAGTCCATAAAATTCATCCTAGTCTTATTCTAATACAGAAACAGGAAGACACGCTAAATTAACAAAGTTGACACAGTTCCAACAATCTTTCAATCAGCCACTACCTCTACAACCTGAAGGAGTTATTACACCAAAAATTGATCCTTATTTTACAAACCCTACATCAACTTCCAAATTTCCCTTCTTTAATTACTCCACAAAACCTAAAAATTATATTACCATAAAACTCAAACAATCAATAATTATTTCAATATTTATAAACCTAAAACACAGTAATTGAATCAAATAACTAATACCCAGATCAAATTAATCCCAAAAATGCAAAAACCCAAATCCGAAGTTTACACAAAAATTAGAATCATAAAAAAAGAGGAGCAAATATGAGGCAAATTGAAAGGAGAGAGAAACACCTTGAGGAATTTAATCTCATCAATTAGCTCATGAAATCGATTATTGAGTTTACTAAACTTGTTGATATTCTGCTGATCTTCCCAAGTAACTTGGGTCTCTGATCCTGTACCCTAAAATGCAAAATTTCCAGCAAAACTCAGACACAAAAATCACCCAGAAAACAAAAACAACAATATTAAAAAAAGTAGAATTTCTTTTTAAAAAATGAGAATATAATTTAAAGGGAAGATTTACCTGTTGCATATTCGATGAAAAAGTTGAGAGATTTTCTGAAAAATCTGGAGTGGTAGAGTTTTAGTAAGATGAAGACGATCGCAATAGAAGGTTTGAAAGACTAATCGGTCAAGTCCAAACCCGGATTCAATATAGTGAAGTCCGTCTGTTATCGGGTGGGTTGCCCACTTATCGTTATTTAGATAGTGGGTTGTCCGTATCATACTTTCTCCGAATCTTTTTATTTACACTAAGGTAGTTAATGCGCCTAGTCATAGTTAGCAGTTAGTCCTATTGGAGTTTTTTTGGTTTGGTTTTATGTCACAAATTTAGTTGTTGATAATTAACAATAATGAGAGAAATTATATAAACAAATATATTTAAGGTATAAATCTCTGCATACTTTTTATAAGAGTTAAAAATTGTTAACATAAATGAGAGAAAATAAGTAAACAAATATTTTTAGGGGTATAAATATCCTCACACTATTTATAAGAGTTTAGGTAAGCTTTTTAAAAGGTAAAGAAAAGTTTGACTTTTACACTATTCATCTACTCCCTGCGTTATTATTATTTTTTTTAAATATAAGTGTTCTATCTTGGCCGGCACACTTGTCAATGCATTACTTTGATCAATAACAACTTTTGTTAGCAATAAGTAATCTATACACGACTATATTTGGAAACTATACATCAAAACGAATCTAACAATTACACACATGACTATGTTTTGGGGGTGGGGATTCCCTCACCCTTCCACCCCCCCTATATTCTCAAAGTGCCTAGCCTGCTATCTCAGATCGGGAGAACCAGTGAGAGGTTTCGGGCCAACCAAAAAAAAAAATAATAAAAAAAAAAAATCCAAGCAAAGCTTGGTCTGTTGTGGGATCAAACCCTACTAGAGGCACTTTGGGGGTTGGGATTCCCTTACCCTCCCCCCTCCCACCGCCAATTCCCAAAGTGCCTAGCCGGGTCGTGGAAACCTGTGATAGGTTTCGGCCTGGTAGGGCCCTTCTCCTTACCAACCCACAAAAAAAGCTATATTACAGTAGGTTAGGTTCCGTGCCATGCACGGTAATTTTCACTATTTATTTTTAGTTTAAGACTATATTTAATTATAAAAAATAACCAATTGTAAAATAAGATGAAAAATTCGTAATTACAAAAAGAAAAATAAAACTATATCATACTAAAGAAAATAGCGGGAGTATTACATGCACGACTAATAAAAATAATTATGGATTACGTCTCAAAGTTATATGTAGGAAAAATATTATTGCATAGTGTCAAATAAAGGAATAATATTTGGAAAAATTGTCAAAAAAAAAATACTACCTCCGTTAAATGTTATGTGCAACTTTGGAGGGGGTTGCGGTTACCAAGGCAAAATTTGAGGGGCAAAGATTAGCTAGTGTAATGGGAAATAATTAAAGAAAGGGGAGAGAGAAAATGGGACTACTCCACTTAAAAAAGGGTGGGGAAATATGATTTTATTAGGAGGGAGAGAGAAAATAAGACCACTCCACTTAATTATTCAAATCTGATTTTTTAAGTACGGGTATATCAGTCTTTTTAAGCTTTTTTGTTTATTAAAATAGGAAAGAAAATAGAAAGTTGCACATAACCTTGATCATCCATTTTTGGCAAAAATTGCACATAACATTTAACGGAGGTAGTACAACTTTTCAGTGGTCCACAAAAAACAAGTCAACCTTTTAATTATTTTTAAATAATACAACCTTTAGTGGGTATCCGCTTCAAACAAGTTGTGACCAGTTGGTAACCTGATTCACAAGTTATATGGGATACGTGTCATCATTTTATTGGTTTGCCAATTTATTTTTTTTACAAATTTTTTTAATTTATAAAAGATTTAAATAATATTAATCATTACTACAAAGTAATTAAAATCGGGATTCTACTTTGAATCGAGAAGGGCTCTTAGAATTGAATCGTAAAATTGTAAGATTCTACCGACATGCATAATCAAGACGTTATACCTAAATTTAATTAAATATATTTAAATTATGAGTTTGAAACTTAATTATTAATATAAAATATTTGTTTACCCATCATACAACCAATAATTGACAATATATATTTATAAATAACTATATATGTTTGTCTTAAACTTGTAAGGATTTCGCTAATTAAGAAAAATATGTAAAATCGGGTAGAATCGTAAATCGAATTGTATGATATACATGTATCATAAAATCGTAAGATTCTAAGATTTAAATTGGTATTTTAATAACAATGATTACTATTATTATTTTTAAAAAAAACCCACCTATTATTATTATTATTATTATTATTATTATTATTATTATTAAAACGACTATTTCACCAAATGCCACTGATCACTTTAATAGTTCACCAAATGCCATCAAGGTTTTCAAAATTCACCAAATGCCTTTGACAAATAGTATATTGACACATCGTGCCATTAATGAGGTTTGGACGTTAGTTGTCCGTTACTGCGAAATGACTATTTTTCCCTTTAATGTGTTTAATGACGCCGTAAAGAACATTGACTATGTGAATTGACCTATTCAATTACAAAGAAAAAAAAAAAAAAAAAAAGTTGCCCCCTCTCTCATTTTTCATCCTCAACCTCTCCTCTGTTCTTTGTGGTTTCACCATCATTCAAACCTTCAAATCTATGAACAAGGAAGAAGCGTACTGTAACAGCTGAACGACACGAGCAACAAGATTGAAGCTTTAGCTGTGGTTGTATTTGGGCGAACCAAAAAGCGGTCACAAGTAGTGGAAGAAGCAGAAGGAAATCGCGAGTGGTGAAGTTTTTTTAGGCGTTGGAGATAGCACGCAAGGTAATAATCTCTCTATTGATCTTCATTTCGCGTACTGATTCCAATGTTTTTTGCGAAAATTGAGTTAGGGTTAGGGTTTTCTCAAATGATCAGTTTAATGTGCTTATTTGACATGACCTTTGTGAATTATTGTTAAAAATCATGTTAAAAACCTCATTTATGGGTATGAATTTGGCAATGTGTGTATTGATATGTTAGGGTTAGTGTTTTTTCACAATTTTTGAGTCCTTAAAATGAAATTTTGCGAGTTGATCAGGATATTTGGTTAGGTATGTGTTTGTTGATATGAATGATGTGTGTTGATGTTCAATAAAGTAATATGTCATTTGTTGTTGATAGGATGAGTAAAGTGTGGCTTGGTGTCCATTCCAAAGATCAGGGCTTTGATGTATTGGTTGAGGATACTGACAGAACTAGTCTAATGGACTTGTATGAGTTCATGTTTGAGGATTTTGTCAAGCAAAATGTGATCCTCCCTAAATACTATAGTTTGTCTGTACTGCCACCTAAAACTAATAGAAAGTTGGAGTTATGTGAGGATAGTCATATGCTGAAAATGTGGGAGTGGAATGAGGGTAGGAAAACAATAGAAGTATTCTTAGAGGAAAAGGAAAGTCATAGTTTGATGTTTAAGGATGCTGAAGCAAGTTGGCAAAAAAAGGTTAAGGCAATGGCTGAGAAGGCTAGATTAGATTTGGAAAAGGCTCAGAGGATGGCTGAAGAAGAAGAAGTTGAGAGGGACCTTATGGAACAACAACATTTTACAGTTGCATTTGAGGTTCCTGTTGTTAATGCTGATGACTCAAATGTTGAGTATTTAAGAGTGTTTCACACTCCATTAGCTGATTAGGTTTTTCCTAGGCCATCTCAGCCTTAGCCCGAACAAAGTACTCAGCCCTCAACTCCACCTATACACTCTCAACCAACTTCTCCTCTTAACTAGCCCAAAACCACATGTTCTAGGAAGAAAATGACACATAGGAAAAGGAAAAGCACACCTAAAAAAAGGCCAACCCAAAGAAAAACACCACAACCATCCCAACCTTCTCTTCAACCACAAACATCCCAACCTTCTTCTCTACCATAAGCATCCCAACCTTCTCCTCAACCATCACCAGTCACACCACCAGTATCTCCTCAACCACAAACACCACCAGCATCTCCTCAATCACCAAGACCACCAACTTGTCCTTAACCAGGAATAGGTCCAACCCAACCTCCACAATCTGCAGCAGCTACTTGTACTTCATCTCCTGGTAAACCTAAAAAGAGAGGTAGATGAATAACTGAGGGATTTAGGTCAAAAAAGAGTATCGCAAAAAAGGTTAATGTTGAGGGGTAAGGTGTTACTTTAAGGAGATTAGAAAGAAATAGAAATGGGAATAGAGCACCTACTATTGATTTAAGTGAAGAAAGTTCTGATAAGTCTGGTAGGATGGTGATAGTGAAGATGATGATTACATACAATCTGGCAGTGAAGAAGATGATGATGAAGCAAATATTGCAGACTTTATAGAGGATGAGCCAGAAATAGATTGCCTTCATGATGACATTCCTGACAAGCAATTTGAGGATTACCTTGATGGCAGTTCATCCATGGATAAGACATATAAGAATGGTAAAATTTGGAGCTATCAAGAGTTTGGAGCCATGGTTGATATTTGGAGACAGAGAATCATTTCTTGATGTGTTCAAAGACTATTGTATTCAGGAAGGATTTGGTGTGTATGTTGAAATGAGTGACACAACAAGATATATAGCAAGGTGTGCTATAGATACATGCAACTGGAGGATTCATGCTTTCACAATGACAGACAAGGTTAGCTGGGCAATCAAGACATTGACATGGGAGCATACAAGTTATGGTAGGCCGGAGATAAACCCTGTAGTAAGTTCTGAGTGGCTTTGTAGACATCTACAATCAGACATTCAAGCCAATCCTGACATTCCAGTTGAGTCTTTACAGAGACTCTGTATGCAAAGGTTTAGGATTCAAGTAAAAAAAGGCTGTTCTACAAAGTGAAGGCTATGTGCAAGGAGATCATTCATGGGGGTTTTGGAGGGGCATACTCACTTTTGCCTAGGTATGCTGAAATGGTGAAAGAGACTAACCCAGGTAGTTATGCTCTTGTGTCATGGGGTGAACCTACTGCAAATGAGCCTCCAAGATTCAAGGCTTGTTTTTTTTTTTTTTTCTTTTGCTGCCCAAGTTAGGGGATTTTTGAGAGGGTGTAGTAGACCTATTATTGACATTGATGGGGCCCACCTAAGTGGACATTTCAAGGGAATCTTGTTAACTGCACTTAGGATTGATGGAAACAATGAGATTTTTCTCATTCACTA